TAAATATACATTATAATAGTAAACGTAAGTATACATCGTAATAATTAAAGTTTTTTGTATGAAAACTTTTGATGTAGGCAATTACACGTAAGCTGTAGTCTGTCCAAGAATATATCTCATTTCAACTGAAGCTTTATGGAGGATAAAGTAAGGACAAATTAAAACCTGGGCAATTACTTACGATTAACTCAGTATTAAGGGAGGACAACAAAACAAGTGTTTATATCTTGTTACGCTCAAATATGTTTACTATTTTACTGTCTAAAGATTATGAATATACCCTAATTATTAATGTAATAATAATAAATATAAGTTTATCTATAAACGTTACAGTACATTTGATTTGTTACTTTAAAATGCTTTTTAATAATTCTTGAAAATGATGATACGCGGTGGTGGCTTAAGATGATACATCATTCCATTTTTGCCGTTGATATCGTAAGAGGAGTTACCTTTTGAATGGGAACTACAGACAGATCTCATGGCTTCTGATATATGGGAGTTACGTGAACGCAAATTTATTTACTTAACTACCATGTGTATTTACCATTTATGTAGAACCACGCTGTAGATATTGGTGGGCTCGACAGTGGTAAGACTACGCTATCACACAATACCAGCGTAAAACAGGAGAATATTGTCGTGTTTCGTATAGTGAGTATAGAGAACAGGAGACCCATTTTACTGGAAACGAGGCATTGCATCTTAGTTCTAACAGGTGACAACGCATCTGCATTTTGATTCTTAATCGAGGATAAATCTAGATGTCTATGGGCCACAATATCCAGTAATCATCAGGTGTACTGTGAGTTCGCTTGTTCTATAAAAAATGGATGACGTTTGACAAAATAAATTTTCGTTTCTTATCTCGAGTGATAAATACATTTTACTGATTATTTTATGGAAACCTACAGTACTTACTTGTTACTTTAAATTTAAAGTGAAAAAGGTGGAATTTCACAAAGTGACAACATTTGGGGGTCTGAAATATCAAAAAAAAAATGTTTCATTTCTTAGCCGACGGGTCTTGGATGTTGATGGTTTTTCATAAGCTTTATTACTTGCTCCATTAAAAATAAGTCCAAGTTCCTTCAAAAGGGCAATTAAAGGTTTCTTACTTTACAATTTAAATACCACGGTACAGATTTAAAATGCCATCATAAAAAACAAATCTCGCAACTCAGTTATTCTACCGTTAAAGTTGTGAGATCCATGTAATACATAGTCAGTTAATTTATTCAGTCCCTAATTAAGGGTCCTTCTGTCTCAAGTTATTACGTAATTAGCTAACCTAACAACATCTTATATTAACCATATCAATATTAAAAATCTTTTATGTTTTAAATAAATAGATTGAATTGGCCATCGCATGAAAACACAATGTATCTCACAAGTAATACATATTATATTAAATTAGACTGTTTAGTGGATCTCACAACTTTTACGGTAGAAAAAGTGAGTTGCGAGATTTGGTTTTTTTACAAGTTATTTTTTTGATGGCATCTCATTTCTTTTTGTAGATATTCCTACTTTTTTTCCGTTCCGGTACCATCTACTTCTTGAATACCAACTACGGATTTTCGGGCAATTTAGTCTAATTAATAGTTTTGGTACAACTTCATAAGACATGTCGCATTCTTGCTTTTGCATTAAGTTGACCATTTTACAAGTTACCTTTGAACATAATTACATCTTGGTACCTATCTACACCTATAATCCCATTATATTATACATATAAAGGTACACTGATTCATTCACTGCAAATGTAACTTTATAATCCTTTATATTTATAGAGGATTACATGCAGTTGGTGTATCTAGAATACTGGACCGAAATGACAAAATATTTTTTTTTTCCTTAATTTATATGCTAAACACTAATAGTATTCTAAATTTGAAGTTTCTACGTCTGCTAGAAGTGCCTTAGAGTTTTGATGATCGGACAAAATTAAGAAACTTTGACTAGTTGTAATTCTTAAACTACTGGTTCAAATTGAATGAAATTGACTGTGTTTATACAATGCCTGTTTGGTTACTAAAAATTCATGCTTCTAGTTTTATCCACAAGGAAGTTATAGGGCGTCGAAAATGGCCTGAACTGCTTCGAGAAATGGATGGTACGGCCGTGCCGCTTTTTTGCTCGACTTGGCGGAGGCCCTGCCGTGCCCCCAGATAAGTATCGAGGGCTTTGGACATTGCTTTAGTTAGAGCATGGACTTGATATTTTTCAAACAGAGACAGTAATATTATTGTCGTTTTGTTTTATTTACATGGCTTCAAGTTGTTTTGGATATCTTTCTGTATATCATAGTCGTTTAATTCAAAGGTTTTTATAAAAATTAGAAAAATGTAAAATAAAAACTCTGTAAAGGTGAAGGAGAACTTGTATAATTACGCACTAACTTTCAGTAAACTCTATAATGGGAGACATTATCTCAAAATATTTTTTGTGGCAAATTATAACTTGCTCTAACAACCACATGTTTTTGTTGGTTCTTAGAGCTCGTTACTTCATTACGAATGGGCGTATAATGGCTCATTATTTTAGTACAAATTGAAAAACATGTAAACTTTTAAGAAATGTACATAATTATACCTTTTTTTATAGAATATGTGTGACAAACGAGCACGCAGTCCACCTGATGTTAACTGGTTACTGTGGCCCATAGATATCTACATCTATCTTCGTTTGCGAATTAAAATGCAGATGCGTTGTCAGCTGTGAGTACTAAGATCGCCATATAATGATAGATAAGCCAATATAATGACAGGCTCAGAGGTATTTTTTTATAGGGTAGAGTGAAAAACGAGCACACAGTCCCCCTGATGGTGTGTGGTTCCTGTGACCCTCAGACATCTACATCTATCCTCAATAAAGAATAAAAATTCAAATGCGTCGTCACCCGTGACGGCTAAGATGAAATGCCTCTTTTCCACTAAAAAGTGTCTCCGGTTCTCTATACTCACCATACGAAACAGCAGTACTAAGCAGCTAATTTACGCTGGTATTCTGTGAGAGTATGTTCCTTCTCCGGTCGAGCGGACCCATTCGTGCTACAACTATACTATTAATACAGCTGCAGCATGGTTCTACCTCGTATAGAAATTGAAACCTAAGAAAAATTCACTGTAAAATACTTTTTTTTTTTTCATAAAAATGAAATGACAACGTAACTTACAGTTTACCTGATAGTAAGAGGCCACTGCAACACATGGACGCCTGCATGTAATTTAAAATAAAGAAGGTTAAAGATGCGTTGTCACCTTTGAAAACTAAGACGAAATACCTGGTACGTTGTCACTTCATTTTTATGAAAAAAAATGTATTTTACAATGAATTTTTCTTATGTTTCAATCTTTATACGTGTTAGAGCCATGCTGCAGCTATATTAGTGTATAGTGGTTGCACGAACGGGTCGGCTCAACCGGAGAAGGACCACGCTCTCACAGAATAACAGCGTAAAATTGTAGCTTAAAGATGCGGTGTTTCGTATGGTGAGTGTAGAAAACCGGAGACAATTTCTACTGGTAAAGAGGCATATCATCTTAGTCGTCACGGGTGACATCGGCATCTGCATTTTGATTCTTTATTGAAGATAGATGTAGATGTCTGTGGGCCACAGCAACCACTAACCTCTGGACTGTGTGCTCGTTTGTTATCTTATCCTATAAAAAAAATACCTCTCAGCCTGTAATTATAATGGCTCTCTGTACTTTGTCTTTTTCTCGAATTCCACGCGGATGAAATATAATTCTTTAAATTAGTGTTTATTTATTATTGATTGCCTTTAAAATGAGTTGACTTATTTTGCCTACGTTGTTAAACACACACAAATTGCAATTCGTTGTAACGATTACAAAAATTAATTGCGTGTTTGAAAGAGAAGAAAGTAAAACGATATGTGAAATAAGAATAGAAGGGGAGTTGGTCGAGCAAGTAGATGAGTTGTGTATATGGGATGTGTATTTAGCAGGGATGTTAGATATGATAAAGATATAGAACGACGACTGAACGCAGTAAATAGAGTAAATCGGGCTCTACACCTATTGTGAGAAGTCGGAATTTGTCCAAAAAGGCACGTATGGCAACTCACAATGCTGTGTTTCCTACTTTAATATATGGCAGTGAAAGTTAGGTGTGGCAGAAGAAGCACGAGAGTAGAATAAATACTGTAGAAATGCGGTCATTAAGGAGTATGTCAGGGATGAATCTGAATGACAGATTGAGAAATTGTGTGATAAAAGAAAAGTGTGGTTTGCGAGATGATGTTGTGACCAGGATCAATAAAGAATGCTTCGGTGGTTTGGTCATGTAGAAAGAATGAATGAGGAAAGAATGACAAATGAAATTTATGTTGCAGAGGTGAACGACAGAGTCCGGAAGGGACGCCCTAGGCGAAAGTTTATCGACCAAATTGGCGATATATTGAAAATGGGCCAAATCAAGAGTACCTTTAACCGACGAGCGTGTATGCGTAGGTATATGGATGTGGAGGAAGCGAGAGCGGTGTGTCAGGATCGTGCCAAATGGAAGTCTATAGTCTCTGCCTACTCCTCTGGGTGACAGGCGTAAGTGTTTATGTTATGATTACAAAAATAACTAAAATTATTATTGGTCTATTATGAAGGCGGTACTTACTTCGTTTAATAAATGAAATATTATTTCTAGAATAATAAAATTTGTTAAAAAGTTTATGTTATAGCACAGTATAAATAATAGTTTATACGAGTAGTAACATTTATAAGAAATTCATCCAGGCTGTAACAATGAAACACATGCGTAAATCAATAAATTTAGTTCCAAAAATAGGTGATATGTCGGTACCTACACAGTCAAACTCTCGGCAGCACAAGCGTTCTTACGTTTTACTTTATTAACCTTTGGATATATCTTCCACCTCCCTAAGCCATGTCTAGCAGTAGAATGTTGCGGACATGGAAGGTGGTGTTGGTGATTATATTTGTAATGGAGGCTTGGTTACAAGACAATTTTTTTTTCAGCCGGAGCTGTATAAAAATGAGTTGGTACGTCAATCATCCACAGACAGTGGCGAGTTAGAGTTTTGTGGCAAGCTGCATTTCGCTTTGAAGTATGACCAGGAAGTTGAAGCATTAGTCGTGAAGGTTTGTACATTTTTCATTCTATGTAAAATTAAGATAATTTTAATAAATGTGATATTTACTCAGCACCTTTAGATTTAGTCTGGTCAGTACCTTTAGTGACAAATAACCGCATATGGATGTATTGTGTTTGTGACTCCTGATATCTTATTAATTTTTTCATAATAATCATATTAGAAGCATTACAAACAGCTAATCGAAGAATGTTTGGATAAAGATACAGCCTATATACGTCCCACTGCTGGGCACAGGCCTCCTCTCATTTCTGATAGGGTTTTAGAACAAGGAAATGTCCACCGCGCTGCCCCAATGCGTGTTGGCGAATTTCATATGTCTTCGAAATATATCATCTTCGGAATATATTTTTTTGTTATTTCTCAGACATGTAGGTTTCCTCACGATGTTTTCCTTCACCGCTGAGCACGTGGTAAATCAGCACTTAAAATTGCAATTATTAATTTCATTGGTGCCGGCGGGGATCGAACCCGGGTTACTCGCGTACTGTGAAATTTACAGCGAATGCTTAGCCATTGAGCTACCACGGCATGTTTGGATAAATGGCGGAAATACCATTTTGTATCTGTACTAAAAGTAAAATACCCACACTAGTTTACCAAACCCAACCTCAAAGTTCAAAATTTTCATAATCTAATTTTGTATATAAAATAGATAATTATAATATTAAGGAATTTATTGATGATAATAGCCCCTGTGAATCGCTGCCAAGCTATTTCTAATTTGTTTTGTGTTGTTAATTGTATAACATATATGATTGTAAGTAAATAAGTATTATTTTTATAATCTATATTGAATGAAAAAATTGTTTCTGATTCTGTTTCCAAATTCACTTGCTAAGCTTGGTATTAACAGCAATTTTTTCTCTACTATGGTATAGCGTGATATCCAGTAGTGAACTATTTACTAATAGGTTTTTGCTTAATAAATGTCCGAAAATCTTATGAAAACCCAAATGATAATGGTATAACCATCTCAATTACATCGGGTAAAATGCCCACACCAGCCTCTAGGAGCAGTGTCAGAGGTGGAAAACATTTAGTACTACTATCACCAATCAACATGTCAAGAGTGACTTATGAGACAAATTCTCCTTATTTTATGAGGTAATGACGATGAAGAAGACTGAGCAACTTTGATTATTATTTATCTATATACAATATTTACAGCACATTTTCGTTATAAGTAAGATCAGTTTTAGGTGCCCGAATAATCTATAGTTATAAATAAAAAGTTACTATAAATAGTATTTATAAGTAAAATCAACAACAAAATATACCATAAAAGTTATGAAATAGTTTTACGTGTCCGAATAATCCATGTCTACTATTCACCTGTTTAGATATTTGAAGCTCGGGACCTTCCTATCAAGGACGTTTCGGGGAGCAGCGATCCATACATCAAGGTTTTCCTCTTACCGGATCGCAAGAAGAAGTTCCAGACAAAAGTACACCGGAAGAATCTTAATCCTGTTTTCAATGAAACTTTCCTCTTCAGGTAATAATTATATAAATACTTTTCGAGGCCTTTACTTTAATAAAGTAATATACGAAAATGAAATACTACTGACTTATAATAACATATTTAATATACGAATCGTTTGCGATCTGATTTGTAGATGGTTCTGAATCAAAGGAAAATCAATCAATTGCTTACTTACTTATCTTCACGCACAAACCCTGACGGGGTAGCCAGAGAGAACAGATCGCCAAGTGTCACGATCCTTACAAACCTCTTTCGCTTCTTTCAGATTCATTATCTTCTTCATGCATGCTCACATGGTCTTCGAAAGTTAGTCTCCGTCTACCTCGACACCTTTTAATATTAACTTTCGCGCTATATATTTTCTTCACCATTCGGTCTTCACTCATTCGCTCAACGTGCCCAAACCACCGAAGCACGCCCTTATCAATTTTTGTGATAAGGTCATCTTTCAAACCTGCCATATTGCGAATCTCTTCGTTTCGCTTTCGGTCGGCCATGGTAACGCCGCACATTTTACGAAGAGATCGCATCTCCACTGCATTCAACTTACTTTTATGCTTCTTCTGGCATACCCAGGTTTCGCTGCCATATAACAAAGTCGGTACCAACACTGCGTTATGTATTGCAAGGCGTGCACTCTTCGCTACGCCTTGCCTTTTGACTAACGCAGTCAGGGCACCATTGACTTTGTTCCCGGCAGCGACACGCCTGTCCACATCTAAATCACATCTTCCATCCCGGCTAAAAGCACTCCCCAAGTATACAATTTCATTTATCTGTTCTAAACATTCCTGATTTACCCATATTTCACACTTCGTTCTCTCTTCGTCCCTTTCAAATACCAGAACCTTAGTTTTATTAGCATTCAAACGGAGACCTTTAATTTCACATTCCTCTTTCATACACGTGACTAATGCCTGCAGTTCTGCCTCTGATGGTGCAATAAGCACTACATCATCAGCATAACAGCTGTCGAGATACAGTATGAACAGCCAGGAAGACATGACACAACCCTGCTTTACGCCCGTTTGGACGTTAAACATGGGTGACAGGTCATGCCCTACCCGCACACAGGCTTTCCAGTCACAGTAAAGAGACTGCACAGCCCTTAGCAATCGACCATCCACACCATACCCCGGCAACAGTTCCCACATTTTCTTCCTTACAACCTTATCAAATGCTTTCTCAAGATCCACAAAAGCACAGAAAATCTTCTGGTTAGCAGCCAGAAGCTTCTCCGTGATCATGCGGAGAGAAAACATTTGATCCGTGCATCCTCTTCCAGGTCTAAATCCGCATTGTGCCTCCCATAGAAATCTTTCCGATTTCTCTTGCATCCTACGTGTCAAAAACTTCGAGTAAACTTTACTTGCTAAACTGGTCAAGCTGATCGCCCGATAGCACCCGCAGTCAAAATGTGAACCTTTACCTTTATATAAAGGCACAATGACTGCGGATCGCCAATCATCCGGGACATCCCCCGTCCGCCAGCACAAATTGCACAGCAGATGAAAGCTGTCCCAGACGCGAGGCCCACCATACTTGACCATTTCAGCAGTAACTCTGTCTAGTCCCGCAGCCTTACCACATTTCAAACTTCGAATCGCACGTTCAATCTCTTTCATACTGATGACCTCAGTGTCATCGAGGTCCGGGTCTGGCGTACCAGTCACGGCGTCATCCCCGAATCCCACACTAAGATCATCATACGCATACATTTCTCTATAAAATTCGCTCCATCGCTGCATGACGTCCGATTTTTCTGAGAGGACGTCATTAGTTCTCGAAAGCACTTTGTTCATTCTTAAGGCCGTCGCACCACTTCGGGTCCTTCCAACCTCTTTCCAGAAGAGTTTGGAGTTCTCCTTAAAGTTGTGCGACAACCTTTCGTCCGCTTCCATTCTACACCTTTCACGCACTTCCTCAATCAATGCTTTCGTGTGAACTTTCTGCAGCCTTTATCTTTCTTTCATCTTCTCTCTCATATCCTTATCATTACTAGAGGCCAAGTAGTCTAACCATGCTTTCTTCTTCTTCTTTACAGCTTCTTTCACTTCATCATTCCACCATGCATCTCTTCTTTTACTACTGCCTCTTTTTATTGTTCCACACACTTCTTCCGCTGCACTTACCATTCCATCCCTAAGGTTCTGCCAAGTTCTTTCTACACATTCTTTTCTGCCATCGATGGTGTCAAGCTTCTCGGCTACCCTCGCATGATATTTGTCCCTAGTATCCGCTTCCTGAAGCTTCCAGCTTCGGATGCGACAGACCGACTGTGGTTCTGTTACTGCCGTCCGGTAGCGCCAACCCGCGAACAGACCCTTAAATCTAGTAATCACTAGATAGTGATCCGTTCCCAGGTCAGCACCCCTGAACACCCGCGTATCCATCACCTGTTTTCGCAGTCGGTCATCCACCAGGAACAAATCAATCATACTTCTCTCATTCTTTCGTTCTCTAGTATACATATGGATTTTCTTGTGATTAAACATAGTGTTTGTCACAAGAAGACCCTTTTCCTTGCACACCGCCAGTATAAGCTTGCCAGCATCAATAACCCTTTTATCGCCAACCTTACCAAGTACCGACTCGTACCCTGGTCGAGCGGTACCAACCTATCCATTCAAATCACCACATATAACAATTCTTTCGTTTCCCCTAGCCAAATCTAGAACTTCTCTTACATTCTCCCAAAACTCCTCCAGCTCAGCCCTGGACGACGAAGCTACCGGCGCATAAACAGCCAAAAGGAATAACTTCGTCAGTCCCAATTTAAAGCGAACCCAGAGAAGTCTTGAGTTCACAACCTTATATTCAGTCATAACATCGACCAACCGAGAAGACAGCAGCACCCCCACTCCCTGGCAGGCGTTCTCGCTCTCCGGGACTCCTGACCATAGAGCTAACGCCCCGCCAGGGAGCTCTTCAGTACCACTGCCCTTCCGTTTGGTCTCCGACATACACACGACATCTAATTCTCTTTCTTTCATTATTTCGATCAACTCATTCGTCTTATCTCTCATGCCTCCTCTAACATTCCACGTGCCAACTCTGCACTCTGTCCTCCACCTTCCGCCGTGTCGGGCTGTGCGTGACGGGTGGTGGTCCCCATCGCCGCTTTGCACGCTGCATTCCACACCAACGGGGACGAGGTGGTGTGCGTCGCCTTGGGGGGACGCCCTAACCCTCGTTGGCATGGGTGCGCAGCTAGTAGAATTGCAGCCCTGAAAAGGGCCGGGAAGGTTAGCGACGAGCACGCTTTTACAATGACCCCCATTCAATTGAATCTTGTAAAATCGTTAAATTTACTTTCGGACTGCAATTGCCTAATTATGAAAAAAGTTATCGCATTAACTACCCTCAAAAAACTATATCACCATTATCACAACCTGTCAAAAGTTGATGTAAGAAATACGGCCCTGGGCTTCCTGTATCCATCGATATAACCAATATTTTACCAGGTCGTCATCTAGTGAATCTGATAGAAAAACATTTACACTCCAAATACCGATACGAAGCTGCCACTCGAGAACCTTTGTTCATTCGTTGCCGCTTTAAGAATCAAAATGCAGATGCGTTGTCACACGTGAGGACTAAGCTAGAATGCCTCTTCTCCCGTAAAACGGGTCTCCGGTTCTCTACACTTACCATACGAAACACAACAGTGTTAAGCTGCTATTTTACGCTGGTAATCTGTGAGAGCGTGGTCCTTCCCCGGTCGAGCCGACCCATTGGTGCTACAACTATACAGTTAATATAGCTGCAGCATGGCTCTACCACGTGATAGTTGAAGATATCACGATAAATGTATTGGGATATCTGCGTAATAGCCTTCTAAATAGTTCGATTAACTACTTCAGGCATTTTCATACGGCCAGCAAACGGTAAAAGACAAATTCTTATTTCCATTGGTCATTATTGATAAACTGATACTAGTTGTACATACTTCAACCGTCATCATCTTGTGTATATACTCGTATATTAACTTAATTGTCAAATTTTTACCTTCCCTATTTGCAATTCGCTGCAATTAAATGTTCTTTGCTAAACAAGGGCTTCCAGCAGACAATGCTGGAAGAAATAGCTTCCAGAGCGATAAAATTGCCTATTGTATTTTCTACATTTTTATTTCATTTTTTCTTGTTCTAATGTGTATTGGTGTACAGTATAGAATATATTTATTGATTGATTGAATGATTGATACTTGTTGTTTAAAACTTTTGAGACAGATCATTCGAGGGATAAGAAGTGCTCTTCGACGAGCCCACTAAAGGCTAAATATTTTGTTATTTAATCCAGACACATAAATTTGAATTTACACACTGAAAGATTTACAGAGGGAATTTTAATAAAACTTTAACATTACTCGAACTAATTAAGTAAAACGAGACCATGTCTATACGCGATGAGCAAAAAATATTTTTAAAAGAAAAAATGCACCACAATCTGTGCAAAGTGATATAAAATTCTAATAAAGTATTTATAAAACTAGCATATTATATGTTCACGTACCTAGTTGCCCAAACTAAGGTCTACCATACAGGGGCCCATACAGCTGTTAGGTTAGGTTAGGTACAACTATGTGTGGGGCTCAAATGCCTATGGATATTTAATATCTATATGGATTAGGTACTTAATGCGACTTACCTGCTTCAGAAGCGAAGGCGGGTCACAAGGCTCATTCAGGCGTCAGGTGTAATGAATGTAAGTAGTGTGTGAGAAGTGTAAGGCACCGCCCCCCGGCGTGGTAATCTCCAGCGGCGGCAGCAATGGACAATTTCTTTCTTCAATTCACTATGTCAGTCTATCAAATTTATTGTACATTTAACTAACTTCAAGACGCAACTAAATCCCGTTAATTATAATCAAAAAAACGTAACACGCAGCACGACTGATGAACGGTGGGTCAAAGTTCACTTACGTTCACTCCGCCACAAGTTATTTCGAAAACCGAACGCGACCTTTTAAGGCACTTAACGCAACGGTACAATTAAACATTAACTTCTCAA